AGGCTTTGCCGTGTCACCGAGCCGTTGCCCGCTTTCCCCGCGCGGCCTCCATCGAAGGCAGTAGCAGCCCTTGGCCTTTGCCCCTCCCTCCCCGCCCCCCAGGTGCCTCAGGGTGACTTGGTGTTGAATAATCAAGGGACACCGTTGTTCATGAACCTGCTTTGTGGCCTTGATCCTTCAGATTTCCACCCCGCCTGACGTGCATGTTGTTACACTTGGGAATAAAGCTGTCTCCTCCAGCTCCTGCAAGTTTTGCCACTGCAGAGGAATCCCAGGTCCAGCTGATCATGCACAAGGTTTGTGGGCTTGAGCACCTTGGGTATGATTAATAGAGCTATACATACGATTCAAGGCTGGCATACTTAAAGGACGTTTCTCTTCTTAACTTAGACCCCCGCTGTGATGGTAAAGAGTCCGCTTTCCAGGGCTCTGTTATTGGAAGGGATGGATGTTCTCTGCCAGACCTCTGAGTGAACTTGTCAGCATGCTAGAGAACCCACTTTTTTGAGAGGAATTTGGGGGACTTCCGTATGGTATGCTGCTACAATAGTGAGAAACTGGGTAAGAGCACTGTTGGCCCCTGGCAAACTGATCAGTTTAGTCCCAGTGTGGTTTGTGTCCTACTGCTGATTCCACTGGGTGTACAGCACAGGCAGCTGCAGAAGTCAGATTTATCTACATTCACACTTGGCTATTAGCTGTATGTTGTCTGCACACCATCCTACAGTGCAATTGCTTCCTCTATTTCCTGTCCAACCCAAAAACTCATTGCTGATATTTGAGAGAAAATAGTAAAACACATCAAAACAGAGCTCTTAATCCTTCCCCGCCAGCCTTCACTTCTTTACGTGTTCACAAATAACACCATCTTTGTGATCACTTGGTCCCGCGGGCAGCCTGCAGTGCCTTTGGCCACAGCCTTTTCCCTTAAACGGTGTCTGAATCTTGTTGGTTTCTTTCCAGCCGCACGGATGACAATCCCAGCTAAACTCTCGTCATGACAGTAACAAGTTCTTCCTCTCTGGATTGACAGTTCTGTAGACTTCTCTAATATCCATTCAAAACATACAGAGGCACTTTCCTTCTCTTGTGTTGCTCTGCTCTCTTCTGCCTACCTCTCAAGCACACACACCTTGCCGTGCTGTCTACAGGCCCTACCCAGGTTTGAAAGAAATCTTGTGAGTGCAATATGCCACAATTAGAGGCAAGCGTGTGATGGAGGGATCTGCAGAAATATCCGATCCATGCCTTCCCAGACATGCACATTGCAACAGATCTGCTCCAACACTGTATCAAACTAAGCATCCTCCTGGGCAATCATTTCTCAGATTTACAGCATGTCACCAGGACGGGATGCAATCATCCCTGTCCTAGAACTGAAAAGCATGGCAAAGTCTTTTGTTGAGAATGCCTGGGAAATTCTTGTAAATGAGCTGTACCAGTGAGTAAGATGTATACCACGAGCCTGACAAACATCCCCAATCTCAGCATGAACTAGAAGGGATCAGAATCTGGATCAAAACAAAAACCATCAGCCAACCATGCAACTAAGAGGTTTCTCAGGATGCTAGAAGCATCAATACTCCCCACCATTCTCACCAGTGGTCAATCTTCGGTACTTCGGAAGGAAACTATCCTATTGTTGCTGACCACGAGTCACAAAATGACTGAGTTTGGAAGGGACTCGTCAAGGTCATCTGGTCTAACCCCCTGCTCAAGCTGGGCCACCTACAGCTGGTTATGCAGGACTGTGTCCAGACATGTCCCCATGGATGGAGAACCCACAACCTCTCTGGCCAAGCTGTGCCAGTGTTCAATCACCCTCACAGTAAAAAAGTGTTTCCTGATGTTCAGAAGGAGCCTCCTGTGTTTCAGTTTGTGCCCGTTGCCTCTGGTCCTGTCACTGGGCACCACTGAAAAAAGCCTGGCTCTTCTTGGACCCTCCCTGTAGGGGCTTATATACATTAATAATGTCTCCCTAAGATGTCTGTTCTCCAGGGTAAACAGTCCCAGCTCTCTCAGCCTTTCCTCACGGGAGAGATGCTCCAGTGCTGTCATCACGGTGTCCCTTTGCTAGACTCTTTCCAAAAAATACTGATGCTGTTGCTCAGAGGGGCTTGAGAGATGCCAGCTCTCAGTGTCTGCCTGTGTCACATTCACACTGGGTGTTGGCTCTGTTCCCAGCAGGAGTGTCCAAAGCTCACAAGGCTTCCTTCTCAAACCCAAGTTGACCACCTCTACTTCCATCTTGACCGCAGTTGGGCTGCCAGTTTGCCGTAGCCGTTGCTTGTGCCACTTTTCACCTTGCGCACCTTTTTCACCCTGTGCTCTCACTATCCACCTGCTGCTGTCCTGCTGGGGAGCACTTCACAGCCCCTTGTGTTGACAACAATTAGAATACCTATGCACTCCTCACCTCTTTCACTAATTGCTGTTCTTAAGACATCCCTCATCAGGTTAGGAAGTGGAAGTTGTTGCACTTCCACTGATCTCCATTCTGTTGTAAATTTGGTTATTTTGAGCAGCTGGAGACAGAGGTTGAAACTTCACATTTCTTGTCTTCTGAATGTAGCCTCAGGTTTCCTGTTTCACAGGCGTTGAGCCCTGTTGCTCAACAGCCTGATCGAAACATCTTGTCAGACGGCGCTCTTTGCTTTGGCATGGAGGGAAGCAGATCAGAAACTTCTGCAGCTGAAGCGAGTGAAGAAATAATTTATACGTCTGTCAAATTCTCTCAGACTCCTCCGCTGAGGGCCAAAGCTGCACGGGAAAAAAGAGGTGAGGAAGCTGGATGAGGTAGGTCAACAAAAGATTGTATTTTGAGCGAAAGCAAGATCTAACAAAAACCCTTTGAGCTGGCCACTGATTCTGAGTGCCAGCTCACAGTGCTCTTGCTTTGGTTCTAACATTACCGTGAGTATTTCAGTGCGATGAAAGCCGAGCGGTGAGAGACCTAGCGTTGTTCCCTTCCCTCTCTCTGTCAGACCCCTTTCTGTGTCTACTCCTGGGCATTCCACCCGGGCATCCTTTTCTCCAGAAGAGGTTTGCCATTTTAAAGGTGTCTGCTTGTCAGCAGTAAGAGACTGTCGGCAGTTATTCTTCGAGGGGCAGGCGAGATCAGAGTACAGATAAATTAGAGGTGTATGCTGATCAGAGATCAGAGACAGAGGAGGCACATGAGATCATCCAGTCTCTATCCTGTGGGGCTCTGCACCTTTCTTCCTGTGTTTTCTCTGTTCTGGTTTTATGTAGCTCCCAGTGAGCAAATTTTCAGTTTTTGCCTTGAGACAGTTCTGCAGGGCGTTTTACTGCCAGGAAGATTTTCTTAGTGCTTTCCTTAAATTTCCTCTTTCCTTATTTCCACTCCATTACCCCTGTTCAGGTCTTGCAAATGTCACACTGAGCAATTTCTCTGGCAGCGTATTTGAGAAATACCACCTTAGAAGAGTGAGATTTTGCATTGGTGATCTTTCTTTATAGGTGGCTCCTTCCCAGAAGAAAAGCTGATTGCTTTTCTTCTAAATGCCCGTGTGCTTTAGATGAGTTTGGTTGCACTGGCTGCAACACGAATGGTCGACCTTAGAGTTTTTCAGAGTCATTGCAGCAAAGGGGGCTCTCCCTGTGGGATATAAGATTTCCATGTCCTGGTCAGAATAACTGCTTGTATCTGTGGTTGTTAGTACTGCCTGGTTACTTGCTGCACGATGGAAACAAAGCCAGCACAGAAACCCCCAAGCTCGTATCTGGTAATGACACTCCAGCTGCTCGGAAGGCAGTCTTGTTTTTGCCTGTATTTTCTGTTGTATCAGAAAACACAGGGACATCCCTTCATTCCCTGCCACTTGTGTTCACTCCCACCCTGTTGGTGGTGGAGATGACCCAATGCCCTCTTGACATGTTTGCACTTTTCTTTTTAATATTCCTCCTCTCCAAATTTCATGTACCCTCATCTTTTTGAGCTAAAGTCAGAGGGACTAAAATAGGGAAGATGATCTTTGAGCACACTTTCTGTGCATATTTATTTTCCAGTGCCCCAAAGAGTGCAGTTGAAGTACCTTTCTTTAGAAAATCTTTATTTTCAGCTCTGTCCCCGCCTCCATCACTTCTGAGAGATGTGCTCTCAGGAACTTAACCTCTCTTTTCAAATGCACACCCTTGCTACCAAGTCATCCCTCTAATGCAGGATCACAGGTATATCACAGGTGTATAGATCAGGCCTCTGGTCAAACCAACTGCTTTTGACGCTCACAAACTCCTCAGAAACAAAGAGTTCCCCTGGCTGACTTCTGTTTGGCATCCAGAGAGCCTTAGGTATGCCAGGCTACCAAAATGTCAGTCCAGCAGTCACTTAAGACAGTGTTAGCCTGCATGGCACACTTGTAGTAGCAGTGATAACCGGACATTTGCCACAGCCAAGGACAGAATCCTTGTTTCTCAAATCCTCCTCCCTGGCCCTAGATAGTCATGCTGCTCCCATACTGACGTAGGCAGTAGCTGAAGGGAGCTATCTGGGACAGTGCAATGACATTCTTCAGAGTGGCCTAGCAGACTTGAATTATAAATTGCTAACAGCTTTCAGTTTTTGAACTGAATCCGGACTCCCAAACCTAAAAATATTGGGTGACTGTGCTGGTTTTTGTTGGTATAGAGTTCATTTTATTCACAGCAGCCTGTATGAAGGAGGCTGTATTTTGGATTTGTGCTGAGAAGAATATTGATAACACAGTAATGTTTTCAGTTGGTGCTAAGTGAGGTTTGTGCCAACTCAAGGACTTCAGTTCCTGATACTGCACCTGTGTTCCCAGCTTCTTCTCTACAAGAAACTGGGAGAGGACACAGCCCGGGCAGCAGGCCCAAACTGACCAAAGGGACATTTCATGCCATCAAACATCATGATCAGTGTATAAGTCGGGGGAATTGGCTGGGAGGGGAAATCACTGCCCAGGATCTGGCTGAGCATTGTTCAGCGTGTGGTGAACAGTTCTATCATTTTGTTATCCCTCCATTTTTTTTTTCCTTTTTTGTTTTATTACATATTATTACCATTATTATTAGTAGTAGTACTGTTTTCATCACTTATCATTATAATTATTATATTACACTTACTTTCATTTATTAACCTGTTCTTTTCTCAACCCACAAGGTCTCTTATCTTCTCCCTCCAGTTCTCTCCCCCATCCTACTGGGGGGTGTGTGTGTGAGTGGGCGGCTGCGTGGTACTTGGTTGCTTACTGGGGCTAAACCATGACAGTCATGTTGCCTGCAGATGAGTGCAGCACGTCATAGTCCTTTCTACAGAGCACTGAGAGCCCTAACAGGATGTTTTGTATACTGGAAAGTTGTAACATTGGATATTTGCGCCACTGATCCACTTCTCCCTTCCCTTGAGAAGACTCTTCCACTGTTCCTCAGACAACTACGTGGAAACATTTCTGGATGCTCCATTCAGATTTCCCTCCTCTGGTTCAAACTCATCTCAGGTACTTCTCCCATCCTCTTCACCAAGAGCTTCACATGTAGCCCAGGGGCTGAGGATCAAGCACAAACCCTTGACCTTGTTTTAAAAAGGAGGAACTGCAAGGACTCCCTTTTGCAAAGGATAAATATCTCGATTTATGAATTTTTTTATTCCACTTCCCTGGACTGATCACAGCAGTTCAAGTGAGGCTTAAATTCACCTCGAACACTTCAGTATGACTTTTCCACTTCACTTTCTTTTTTCCTCCCGAAATTATCTAATGGCATAATTTTTCATTCTAATAACTGAAGTGACCTCTCCCACTGCTCTGGTTGTGGAGGTGCCCTGGGGTTTTGTTCTGATGCTGAGGCAATTCCTTTTTTTCTGCACTTGGTTTGACACAACAGAGGGCGAACTGCTCTATTCATTGCCGGGGGAGTGCCCAGTGCTGACATTGCTGCCTCATTGCAGCTTTCCAGTACCTGAAGGGGCCTACAAGGGTGCTGGGAGAGGACTTTTTACAAGAGCTTGTAGTGATAGGACAAGGGGTAACGGGTACAAATTGAAAACCGGGAGGTTTAGATTAGATATCAGGAAGAAATTCTTCCCGGAGAGGGTGGTGAGGCACTGGAACAGGTTGCCCAGAGAAGCTGTGGATGCCCCATCTCTGGAAGTGTTCAAGGCCAGGCTGGATGAGACTTGGAGCAACCTGGTCTAGTGGAAGGTGTCCCTGCCCATGGCAGGGGGGTTGGAACTGGATGATCTTTAAGGTCCCTTCCAACCCAAACTGTTCTATGATTCTATGATTCTAAGTATGAACCATTTCACTGACTGTCATCCCAGGTGCCTTGTCCTGGAAGTATGTTTCCCTAAAATCAGGAAGAGGATGCAGGAGATAGATAGCCTCTTTGGGAGGCAGAAAGGAAGGAAAACAGAAGTGCAAATCCTCATAATGAAGAATTATGTTTCAACAGATATTTATCCCCTTTTACTTAGTTTTCAGGTGAAAGGAGCGCAGCAGCTCCGCTCTATCCCTTAAACTCTGTCTGACTCCATTCATTGATGCATAGTCTGATGGCAAAACCCACATCACCAGAGGTATAAAGGTGGCCTTACCAGCAGAATAGAGAGCAGCCAGAGAGAACAGCCACCCTGTTCAAGTGCCTCAGTTTTTCTGTTGTCCTCTCGTGTGAGTAGGTTGTAACTGAAAAGTCTTTCCGGGTTTTGTAACTGAAGAGAGGTGGGGTTTTGTCCTTTAATAATGATTTAAAAGATAAATAAATGTTGCTATTTTTTAACTACAGTTAAAATAGTGGGGCAGTTAGAAGATCCTGCAAGCTTCAAGAAACACAAAACCTTTACATTAGGAAAGATCGTTCTGCCAGAAGAATGATGCTTACAACGAAGCTCTCACTCTCTCCCTCGTTACCATAGAACCTTCTTTTAGCCAAAGCCACAGGTCTAAATATATTGCTATAAACCAGAAACTGGTCTTAAAACCAGTGAGCCTGCAAGCCACTCTAACATAAAACTAAATTTTTATTAATTTTTTTGATCTGGTCTACTTTCTGTATTTGGGCAAGGCTTCCAATGCATTCTTGTTTAAGGGAAGTCTCTTCCCTTTCCGTTTTAGCACTGGATTTCTTGGTCCTTCCCACAATATTCTTGATATGTGATGTGCATTTGTTTTCAGCCTCCACTGAGAAATCCTAAAAGAAGTCTCCCCTACTGCTTACAAATATTTTATTCTTTCAGCCACCCTTTTGATTTCTCTCTGACAAACTTTCTCATTTTCCTGTAGTTTCCCATTTTGAAATTATTATACCAGAGTGCCTTTTGGTGGTGGTGCTGCTGGTTTTCAGCTCTGTTGAATCTCAGTGCCTCGTGTTGACTGCGGCAGAGAAGCTCCTAGATGGAGCCATGGTGAGCCGAGCGTCCTGCGCACAGCTCAGGGCAGGCGAGTGCTGCTTCTCCTTCTATGTTTCCCGGCTTGCCGCTCCACCACGTGCCTGTGATGGTGTCTAAGCTTTCACTCTCAGCATTATGCCCTGGCATGGCAATTTCATGATTTAATGATGTGATTAATTGACATTTGTTATGACCGTACACAGTTGCTCTGGTGTTTTTTGCTGGTTCATGAGTGCTGTCACCATCCTTGTCTGGCAGTCCATGATGTAATTCCAACCTCATGCATTTAGTAATATTTGCCTCGTCTGTGGGGACGTTGTTACTGTTACTCCTTGATGCAGTTAGTTAGTTAACCTAATTTGACTGTAATTTTACTTGAGCAGTGAACAGCCCCCCTGTCCTCCTTGTGTATTTTGTATCCTATTGCTATGACATCCTGCTCACAACCCTTCTTCCACCAAGTTTTTGATGTGCTTGCTATCATAGTGTCTTTGGTTAAAGTTAGCCTTCCCCTTCCTGCATCTTATTCCTTAGCCTTCTAGCCTTTTTTTTAGGAGTACAAATAAGTTTCTCTGGGTCTTGGGACATGTCCAAGGGAGAAGCACCTCAGATTTCACGAGCCTCACCAGGGACATTGCTGCTGGCTTTGGGTAGAAGAGCAGGATAAGCTTATGGGAGAAGCACAGGGAAATCCTGAATTCCTCAACATCAGTAACCATTAGCTGCACCTTCAGTGCTTCTTAGAAAGTCCTGTTCTCTGTACAGCTATCACACTGAGATTTTAGTGCTGAGGTTTCAAAGTGCCTACGGAAAGTGAAGGCCTCTCGAGTCAAACACAGCTCCAGGAGATGACAAGAGGAAAGGAACATGTAGCCAGGGTGCCCTCTGCCACCAGCAGCAAGTGAACAGCAGACGGTGGCAGTGAAAGCGTGGAGGGGCATCCCAAGGTCTTCAAGGCTGGCCCTCCCATCCTGCCACGGGCATGGGAGTGTAGGGCTGACTTGGGAGTGTCTCAGGAAGGTGTAACACGACTGTGTGACTAAGCCTGTGAAGAGAATGCTGAGGTTAATCCTGTTGCTGTGCTGAGAGAGCTGGGGTGAAGGCTCTGTGTTTCTTCTGTGCACGTAAGCTGGAACATGGTGGCGGTGTCTCCACCCCGAGCTTCAATGGTGAAGCAGAAGCGGGTTTGCAGGGGGTTTGTATCCTGCCAGCACGAGGTGCCACATGGTGCCTGGGGGCTCTGGCTGACTTGGGGTGGGTGCTTCCTCTCCTGGAGTCAGCCAGCACAGGGGCTGGACCAGCCAGCTCTGTGGCCAGGAAAGGGCAGAGCTGTGGCTATCCTGGAGAGAGGGATACTACCTGGGAAGGTCAGGCAGGGACTGATGGCCCTGAATTCATCTGAAATGGGACCCTGGGCCGGTGAGCAGGGGCGTGGAGAGACCCGAGAGGGGCTGGGCAGGGACAGTGATGGCAACAATATGCAGAGTGTAGACAGACAGCGATGCTCTAAATAGTTCAGTTCATTACAGAAATGCCCAGGATAGCAAAGTACATAAAACCACCATGAGTGTTCATGCGGCTCCCATTCACTGTGGTTTCTTTTCTCTTTCACAGCTCCCTGTCTGTGGCCAGCGGTTGTGCCAAGCCTGGCTATAGGCTTTGGGATACTGAGCATCTCCCTAGCGATTGCTTTGATATGGAAGATGAGTAAGTGCACAAGCAGATGCTGAGGATGAGCAACCAACAGCAAAGGACTAGAGACTCATCTAAGCACAGGAGCTCAGATCCTGAACTCCATTATATGGGGTTAAACCAGAAGCTATTCTAGGTTTCTACCAGAGAATCATAGAATCATAGAGTGGTTTGGGTTGGAAGGGACCTTAAAGATCATCTAGTTCCAACCCCCCTGCCATGGGCAGGGACACCTTCCACTAGACCAGGTTGCTCCAAGCCTCATCCAGCCTGGCCTTGGACACTTCCAGGGATGGGGCATCCACAGCTTCTCTGGGCAACCTGTCCCAGTGCCTCCCCACCCTCTCTGGGAAGAATTTCTTCCTGATATCTAATCTAAACCTCCCTGATTTCAATTTATACCCATTACCCCTTGTCCTATCACTGTCCTACCAGCCTTAAGAACCCACTGCCTATCCAGAATATTTTGAAGAATACATTCCTTGTGCAGGCCCCAGGCAACCTATTACAGATCCTGTGGCAAAGAACAGTGAAACGTATTGAAAGTTTTTGTAGACTTGTCTGCTGTAATTATAGTGGTAAACTGTAGAACAAATAAGCAAGGTCTGTAACACTTCTGCATGCATGCAGAAGGGCCTTAAGTACCCACTGCCTATCCAGAATATTTTGAAGAATACATTCCTTGTGCAGGCCCCAGGCAACCTATTACAGATCCTGTGGCAAAGAACAGTGAAACGTATTGAAAGTTTTTGTAGACTTGTCTGCTGTAATTATAGTGGTAAACTGTAGAACAAATAAGCAAGGTCTGTAACACTTCTGCATGCATGCAGAAGGTGCTAGACCATGTGGGAGAGCCTACTGTTTGCTGCTTAAAAGCCATTCACCTGGTGTGTGACATGATCACACCGTACCCACAGGATGATGTCAGTTTTTCCCCTTATTTTTTGCACACCCAGAGGGTTGTCTGCTTTCAGATACCCAAATTTGTTCTTAGGTATCCGAGTGGTTCAGGATAAACGCAGGGGCAGGGGATGGGGAGTTGCACCAGCATCAGAGTGCACGTGGCTCTTGTACAAAGATTTGGAAATTACACGGAGGATCTGGAATTCAGTGTTCATGCATTGTTCTTTATAGATGCTTATCCTGACTTGTGTTTCCTGCATTGCAACTACCCAGAAGAGTTGCTTTTCAGCAGGTCCTTGCTGACAAACGCCTTTCTGTTGGTTAATGGTAGAGAAAAGCTGGTCTTTTGATTCCTTTTATAGGTGACTCCAAACCAAGCTGTCCTGAGCGGTGGGTGGCCTACAGAGGGAGCTGCTACTTCTTCTCTAAGGAGAAGAAGGACTGGCATTCCAGCCAGGAATCCTGCCGGGCGCAGGGAGCTCATCTCCTGGTGATCAGCGATACCAGTGAAATGGTAATGGTTTTCTTATTCTTTGAGGATCTTCCATTTCCTTGCAGATACCTCAGTGACTGACATCCAAGCAATGCTGTCACTCTGGCAATATTTTGACTTTAAAGGAGAGGAAGGATTTATGACTGCGACATTATAGTACGCTTCCAGTTCCAGTATATGCCTTAGAAGCTGCCAGCAGGCAAAGAAGCAATGGGGAGAAGGGAGAGGCAAGGGTCACTGTCAGCTGCACAGAACCATCCTATGAAGGATGTTAGCCGACAGCCTTCTCCACTGCTCCTCGCCACTTCCCCTCCTATCCCCAGTAAGGATGATATGGTTGATTACAGAAAAAGGCTGTGGCACTGTGCAGTCACTGTACTCATTGCCTACAAACCAACACATCCCCACTCTCCAGAAACACTTCCTTTGCAAAAGCAATGCCTGTTCTCCCTGCAACCGCTCCAGCTCCTCCTGCTCAGTGACCCTTGCCACTCCCTGTGTTCATGCATGCATATTTCTTTCGCAGTCTGTTTTCAATATTTACTTCCTCTCCCTGCCAAAAAACCTCAGTTGTGCTGGTGAAATCAGAAACCATCTGTTCCACTGCTCATTTTCTAGCAGGTGCTCACCAGGAGCAGGGGCATATATGACCACTAAAGAAATGGGTAGAGCTGATCAGTAGGGAGGTGAGGCATGTCTGCCTAAGTAGACCACAAATACTTGATGTGGTTTTGTGCAAGCCAGGGCTTATTAGCTCAGGTTCAATGAACGTGGACAGCTTCCAGTCCTTGGACAGAAGTTGCATTGTATGATGTTCTGTGGGGGCTTACAAAGCCAGGTCTCTGCTCGACTGGGAGTATGTACCAGGCTCTCGCACTTGCTTACGCAAATCCTGATTCCTTGGGAAATACCCATCATCTCCAGATTACTCACTTCTCTGCATGAAGAAAGCTGCTGATTTCTTACTACTGTCTCTGATACTAGAGTGCTACCCATTATCCCTGCTCAGGCTTCCTGTGGTGTGTTGACCCAGGCTGGAGGCTAGATGCCCACCAAGCCGCTCTATCGCTCCCCTCCTCAGCTGGGTAGAGGAGAGAAAATGTAAAGAAAGGTTTGTGGGTCAGGATAAGGACAGGGAAGGATCATCACAGGCAAAACAGACTCAACTTGGGGAAAATTAATTTAATTTATTACCAATCAAATCAGAGAAGTGAAGAGTTCATCAATAAGAGAACTAAAACCAAATCTTAAAACACCTTCCCCTCACTCCTCCCTTCATTCCTGGGCTTGACTTCACTCACATTTTTCTCTACAATCTTCCCTTAAGCCACACAGGGGAACTGGGAATGGGAGTTGTGGTCAGACCAGCACACATTGTCTCTGCTGCACCTTCCTCCCCAGGCCACACTCTGGCCCTGCTCCAGCCTGGGCTTCTCCCTCCACGGGGCCACAGGTTCTGGCAGGAGCCTGCTCCTCTGCAGGCTTCCCACGGGGTCTCATCCTCCTTTGGGCATCCACCTGCTCTGGTTTGGGGTCCTCCACGGGCTGCAGGTGGATCTCTGCTCCACCGTGGACCTCCATGGACGGCAGGAGGACAGCCTTCCTCACCATGGTCTTCACTACCACCTGCCGGGGAATCTCTGCTCTGGTGCCTGGATCACCTCCTCCCCGCACTGACCTTGGTGTCTGCAGAGTTGTTCTCATATCCCACTCTCACTCTGGCTGCAATTTCTCATCTCCATTTCCCCCCTTAAATATGTTATCCCAAAGGCTCTACCACCATCGCTGATGGGCTTGGCCTTGGCCAGTGGCAGGGGGCATGTGGGGGTGGGTGGCATTGGTTTTATTGGACGTGGAGGAAGCTCGGACACAGGGGAGGCTTCTAGCAACTTCTCAAAGAAGCCACCCCTGTAGCTCCCCCGCTATCAAAACCTTCTCTATGCAAACCCTATGCACTTCCCCATGGAAGCAAGACTTTCCTAACTATCCATGCCCCGTGCTGCAAATGCTGTGATTGTTCAACCTCCCCTTGCCATGGAAGCACCACCACCTCCAAACCACCCACAACACTCAAGCATTCCTCAAGCTACTCCTATTCCCACCACTTCAGCAGGCTGGGTTTGTTAATGCTTCTGTGTGACGTTGTCTGCTCTGAAGCTTTGTTTATGGCAGCAGGGGAAAAGGATGGAGCCCAGCCATACCACCGAAAGGTTCCTGTTGTTTGGTTTCATTGCAAATATGAGCAAGACAAACGTCTCTCTTGTCTTTGTGTTGGTTTGGTTTTTTGAGGGGAGGGATTTATTTCAGAGCCAAGTTTCTTTTAACAGTGAACCGGAGTTAAAGGTTAGGCAAAAGGAAATGAGCACTGAAAACACGTAGGAGGAAAGTTTGTATAAGATTTAATGAGATTTGGTCCCAGGCTCTTTACAGAGATATGTCAGTGGCTGCTCTTCATGCCCTGCCCTGATTTTACCTTTAATTGTAAAGCTTTGTATTAGCTTTCTAGCTAGCTGTACGGTAGAGTGTTAATACTAATAGCGTACCTTCCTACATCAAGCTCTGTGTAGGAAGCTCCAGGAGACTGGGGTGCCGTTGGTTCTATATATTGCCCTGAGAAATGTCCTTTGAAGAATCTGCCCAGGACCCTTGAAAGTACACTTCCTTCCTTGTGAATGTACACACAGTTATTATTCCAGGTATGATTTGTAGGTCTGATCTTCCTGATTAGGTGTGGAGAAGCAGTATTGTCAGCCACCTGAAGGAACAGTCAGGCAAGAGCATGTGTCTTGCTCTCTGTTCTCTTTACTTATTCTTACCTTTATTTTCAGGCTGGCTTTCATTAGTCACTTTGTAATTTGTCACCATTTCTAGGACCTGTTCAAGACTATTCAAACAGGATGTTTCTGGATTGGACTGAGGAGCAGCACAGGCTCTGGATGGATTTGGGAAGATGGCTCTATATTCAATGGCACCAGGTGAGTTTCATTCTATTTTAAAAACAATTCAGACTGCCTGGTGTTACACAACACCCCGAGTTCCTGCACCAGATCTCAGGACCTTTCTGCCTGGGCAGATATTCTTCCTACTACCTATCACCTGTATGGCACTGAACTCAAAGGGTCTTAGTGCCCTGAACCGTGTAAAGGCATTACCTGTGGAAAGCAGGGCTAATGTTAGTACCTCACTCTCTACTTCCTGCCAGCTGCTCGGACCAAGGATTATTTACCTGTGCGGCCCACACAGTTTCTCAGTGAGAAAAGCATATTTTCCATCTTGGCTTTACTGGATTTAGCCATCTTGCACCCATTCTGCCAAGTGTTGATGTCACTGTGTGTGAGGACCCAGCCCGTTACTGCTTCAAAGGGTGCCGACCCAAGTCAGAACCTTCATTTTGGCTCTGTCTTTACTTGGACAAAAGAGCATTCTGTGTGAGGGAAAACATTATGATTTGGCCCAGTGACTTTGCCTGGCCCTTTCCTTTTCATGGCAGGTAAGACAGCAAGTTAGTCTACACTTGCCCAGGAAGGAAATTCTCCCAAGATCTCACTGTCAGTAGGTCAGTACTCTCAGCAGGTGGCTTAGTTCCCTTCTTAAATCCAGCTTTCTGTTCTTGCAAACTCCTTGGAGGTGATTATCTTTCCATGAAACTCTCAGCACTGCTATTTTCGCACTGGTGGATATCACTCACACTGCAGGGCATGGTGTCTATGTTTGGTTCTGATCTAGATTCCGTTAACAGCAGAATTATTCACATGTGTAATCTCCAGGTAGATAGGTTTTTTGAAGTACGCTTTATCGTTTTGTTTTCTAGCAGCTGCCCTTTGGAGGTTGGGTTCTTTCACTTCCTCTGGGCCCCACCCTTCAAAATCAGATGTTTTTTTCTTTCTTGCCTTCAGGAGACAATCTCAGCATTTTCTCTCAGCCTCACTTTTGTCTCTTGCAGGATAGTCTCTAACAGTCCTGTGCAACACTGCGTTGTCCTGATGAAAGAACAATTTCAGGCCTCCAGCTGTGAATTTTCTGCTCCGTGGATCTGTGAGAAACCTCTTAGATAAATCCCGTGTGCATTTTCATCTCATAACCATCCCATCAGCAGTAGAAGCGGATCACTGTCCTGCAAACCAAAGCTCTGCACAAGACCGAGAATTTGACCTTCCCACATTCTCACAGAGGTGTTTTGCAGGGCCAAGTTTGTTGCCCGTAAGTGTGAGTTATCCTCAGTAGCAGATCCATTCTCAGCCCACGTCTGTTGGATTACTGCCGTCTGTGACCCAGTGAGACCTGGGACATACTCCCTGCCCTAGTCTTTCCTTATTTGTCATATAAGGACAAACAAAAGTTTTGTCACAACAGATGCTGGGTCTTCAGTTCTGAGTGTGATCTGGCCATTTTCCTCCATTCCTGAGCATCAGATTTCACTTCCATTCCCTGCATCTCCAGTGTCTGGTGCCAGCGGGGCCAGGAAAATGAAGCCTGCTATTCACTGCCAGAAACATCCAAACAAGACTTCTCCCACTGGCAGCCTCTCCTTTTGCATCCCAGTGCTGTGAGTGGGAGAGAAGAGGGCGAAATGGGACTCCAACTTCTGTAAATCCATCGGTGAAAATAAACCTTCAGTCCTGCACTGGACCAAAAGTGTGTACCCGTGTCATTACGTCTCTCTGTTGGAAGGAACCAGCTGCATGCCATGTTTTATAGTCCAACTACAAGCAAACTGGTCAAGAGGCTGGACTTGTGGAGTCAAAGGAATACAGTTTATTGTGTGTTATTATTGAATCAACCGAGGACATGTTTCCCTCCACGCCTCTGCAGTTTCATACTGCAGAGAGGAAATGGTGAACAGATACTTAACGACAAGGAGCTTTCAGTTCAGATAGAGCAGAGAGGGGCAAAGAGTGTGAACAGCGTAAAGCCACAATCAACACGAGGCGTAGGACAGTAGGTTGCATTTCCACACATCTGGTAAGCTCTTTGCCCACCCAGAGATTTTGTTCCAACAAATGAGAATTTTTATTAATTCCCAATTTATCCTATTTATCCTAATATATTTATATTACATTCCAATTTACTATTATCAATTTATCCTTGGTCTAGACTTGCAGTTCATCGTCTGCGGCAGTCAGAGCAGTCACTCTGATAGGACGGCCTGGTCGGGGTGGCCCTGATGCCGTTATGCTCTAGGGGTTTGACTGCACACGCCCAGCGCAGCCGCTGCACACTCATGGGTGTGCGCCTCTGGGCCTGTCTGACCGGCCTGTGAAGCACACGCAGCAGCTGTGGTCTGCTCTGAACACCTGCCTCGCTCTGCAGGTGTGACACGGCGCACGGGAGCGTTTCCGTGGGGATTTCCCAAGGAGCAAGCGGCAAGCCTTGGCAAGCTGCAGGTTAGTGACAGATGTTCTGAGGTGTGTGTTTGTTCTGGGAGAGATGGGCTCACAGGTGCCTTGTGGAGTTCCAAGTCCTGCAGCTGGGGAGGAACAACGCCGTGATCTTTTTTCTCCACTCAGCACTAGTGAGTAGAGAGGGCACACACCTGGTGTGCTGTGTCCGGTGCTGGGCTCCTCAGTACAAGAGAGACAGGGACATACCGGAGCGTCCAACGAAGGGGCACGAAATGAAGATGGAAGACTGGAGCAACTCTCCTATGAAGAAAGGCTGAGACCGCTGGGATGGTTTGTCCCAGAGGAGAGATGGCTGAGGGGAGATATTATTGATGTGTATATATTAATATATATATAATGCTTTTGAAGAGAAGGTAAAAAGAGGATCTTTTCAGTGGTGCCCAGTGACAGGACCAGAGGCAACGGGCACAAACCAAAACACCGGAGGTTCCTTCTGAACAGGAGGAAACACCTTTTTACTGTGAGGGTGATTGAACACTGGCACAGCTTGACCAGAGAGGTTGTGGGGTCTTCATCCTTGGAGATATTCAAAAGCCATCTGGACATGATTCTGGGCAACCAGCTGCAGGTGGCCCTGGCTGAGCAGGGGGTTGGACAAGATGACCTCCAGTGATCCCTTCCCACTTCAACCATCCTGTGATTTTGTGAAAGTTCTGCTAAAGGTAAGGCCAAGGAAGGCATTATGGGTAACAGGATGTGGGTGGGTAAGAAAGACAGGTCTGGGGACATGAGGTTGAGGAGGCCGATGTAAGGAAGAGACAGAAATTATGAGATCACAGAATCACAGAATGGTTTGGGTTGGAAGGGACCTTAAAGATCATCTAGTTCCAACCCCCCTGCCATGGGCAGGGACACCTTCCACTAGACCAGGTCGCTCAAAGCCACATCCAGCCTGGCCTTGAAGACATCCAGGGATGGGGCATCCACAACATCTCTGGGCAACCTGTTCCAGTGCCTCACCACCCTCTCTGTGAAGAATTTCTTCCTGATATCTAATCTAAACCTCCCTGATTTCAATTTGTACCCATTACCCCTTGTCCTATCACTACAGGCTCTTGTAAAAAGTCCTCTCCCAGTACCCTTGTAGGCCCCCTTCAGATAATGAAGGCAAAGAACTAGGCAGCATGGTACAAGGCAGGGACGGACTAGGGAGAAACAGTTGATGCAAGCACTGGAGGTTTCATCTGAAAATGCTAGATCAGGGGTTGATGAGGAGGATTACACGTAAATTGGAATTGATTGTTATGGGGATGGATACTGCTGTGCCACATGTAAATAAGCCATACAAACGACTGTGAAATAACAGAGAAAACAGAAACAAGATGTTGTTTTCAAAACCAAAATTGCTGTTTCCCCCTCAGCAATTTTATTTTCAAATAATTGAATTTGTCCTTGCATCACCCGGTTGAAAGAAGTAACTTAATGCAGTTTTGACCAATCCAGTGGCAGTGAAACTGCGAATTCCTCACACTGCCATTTACAGAATGCCTTCAATTGCATATTCCTGGTATGTGAGGCTTGACATTCGTAGAGGATGGTCCACATGAAGGAATCAGGGAAGGTGAAGACAAAAATACAGACCTTAACACACCAGCTAGGTGGAATGTCTGCTGAGCCTCATGTAGTAAACTCTACATGTAGTAAACTCTCATGTAGTAAACTCTCTGAGCTGAGGGGCTTAAGGCAGGAATATTCCCAGCATGGGTAGGTCTGCTTTTCAATAACCATGTCTGCAACAGTCAGACTGTGAGAAAACCACAGCATTTTAAGCAGTGTACTAGGAGCTAAAACCTTTGAGTTTTTATCTCGCATTGTCTGGGTTACTTGGGGTGAGTCATTTTGTCTGCGCCAGAGTCCATTTAACTATCAACAGAAGATGTTGACCCCAGCTCCCAGAAAGTTGCCAGGCCCTATGAAATAATGCTGGAGGCCTCACCTGCTTTGTTAAAGTGGTGGTAGCATCTGCAGGAGGAAACCTAGCAGTTACTTTACCAGAGAACCCCAGTGAAGAAAGAGTTTCTCACATCATCCTGATGCCTGTAGGTGCGGTGATCCTGTCCCTGAGCTCGCCTAATTTACCTTGCAAATAGTGCAACAGCTTTGCCTCCCCTCGGATTTTACAGTGCAGTGCATGATAGACTATTTCACCTTTTAGCTCTTGAATCATAGCCTCTCAATCTCATCCCAAACTGATGCTCAGGAAATGTAAAATAAATAAATACATTAGGTTGCTCAGAAGTTGACCGTTCTTTGAAGGGAAGGGATTTTCAGCTGCAGATTGTACTTCTCAGGACACGCATGGCTCTTCTCTGGGTTCAAGCTTTTGCAAAACTAAAGGGATTTGAAACAAGTCTATTCATTTCCTTGAAAAGCAGTTGAACAAGTATTTTTGGAAGAGCTTTTAATCTTCTGTTTAGAGCGTGTTGATATAGTTGATTGACCTAATTTTGTTGGAAGTAAGTTCTTCTTAGATGCAGTCTGTATGCAGCAGTGAAGGAGTGCTGGAGGAGCGTGGCTAGCAGACCAAGGTAAGCCACAATCCTTATTCTCCACAGCATTTATGAGGCTGTACGTGGACTGTGTCTGGTCTGCTGACCCCCAATTCAAGAGAGATGTGGAGAAACTGGAGCGAGTCCAATGGAAAACTACCAAACTGGTCAGAGTATGGAGCATATGACCCACAGGGAGTGACAGGGGGACCTGGGCTTGTTTCGTCATACCAAGAGGAGGTTGGAGCGGTTAAATAGGTACCTACAAATACTTGAAAGGATGTTGGAATATGACCTTTCTTGGTAGGAGTGGATGATATAACATGGGGCAACGGCTGCAACTGCAGCTGGGGGAGTTCAGAATGGGCATGGTGAAAGGCATCTTCACCAGAGATTAGTGCAACACTGGAACAGGTCACCAGAGAATTGGTAGGTTCTCCATTCTTGGAGGTTTTCAAGATTTGACTTGACAACATCCCAGCTGACCTGATCTAGCATTGGCAGCCATCCTGCTTAAAGTGAAAGCATGGATTAGACAACTCCCAGAGCTCCCTTTCAACCAACACTTCTGTAATGCTATTGATGAATGCAGTGGGATTCTTGGTTCAGACACAGGATACTTACTAGGATTCTCAAGCCTTTAAAATCTTGCCCCCCTCAATTGACTGAAAACCTTTCTCTCCAGTTTTTGGCTACACAGCACATTTTTGACTGAGGTTCTAATGATCGGGAGCCGGCTTGTGAGCAGTGTGAGCTGTTTGGCTATTTGCCAAAAGGGTAGTCCTAACTTCCTCTGCTCTGTGCAGTTCTGCATCTCTTTCCTGTAAGCTTCCTGTTCAGTCAGTCTGGCTACTGAACCAGCGTAAAGAGTTATCTTCATAAAGGCTTTGACCACCCCACATACAAATCCTCTTCTCTGCGGGTAAGGCAGATCTTCCTGGGTTACATTTCCTGGGTTACATTTCTTTTGGGCAGGCAGAGCAACCTCAGATGGAGAGGCATCAGATGGAGAAAGTCAGAGCACAAGCCTGGGTGGCATTTCTTTTGTGCGGTCCCCAGGGAAATTGGACATGCACTACTATCCTATTTTCTTTCCCATGCAGGTCACTGCAGGGCAGAATGAGGTCTGTAATAAAGGTTTGTTATCTCATTGCATCTGGATTT